TGTTTTTCTTAGTTCATATCTTAGATGTTATTACTGTTTTTCTTAGTTCATATCTTAGATGTTATTACTGTTTTTCTTAGTTCATATCTTAGATGTTATTACTGTTTTTCTTATACATTTTATTGTTGGATGTAACTGGGACCCTGTGGACATAATGTCATTCGCACCACATGTACCACATGAGGTGTGAATGACAAATAAAGAATCTCTGACTCTTTGCTCTACGTCCCATCTCCTTATATTCCTGTCTCCTCTCTTCAGTCCTCGCTCTGTCATATTTCTTCTTGGCTAACCTCTTTCTTTGAACAGCTTCCTGCACTTCACTGTTCCACCACCAGGTTTCCTGATCATCCATTCTCTGATAAGGCCACAGATGTCCTCGGGAGGGGGGGCAGGCAGAAAGTTCTAGTTTACGTATCCTCCAGGAGCAGTTTGAGATAAGTTGGCGTGTCCAGGCCAGCGGGGAGGCCAAATTCAAATAAACAATTGTTTGGTCTGCCAGACTCTGTTTCCTGTCTGCCTTGAAGTTCTGCTGCTACACTCAATGGTTAATCCAAACAGCCAGAATTAATGGACATTCTGTCGGTCCGTGCTCGATTAACTTTCTCCAAGATTGAATCCTTCATGCTGGCGAGTTCCAGGAGCCACAAGTGGCCTACGATTCTCAGAAATTGCGTCCAGCTTGCAGATGAGCTCAGTAAGCATACAAGTCTGAGAGGTCGAGGCATGGATTAATCCTTCACATAAGGCTGGCAGCTTTACCATGGCTGAAACTGCTGCAGACGTTGTCCTGTCGATATCCCAGGTATCCACCGATTCCAAAAAGCAGAAACCCCGTTATCATAAATCCAGTAATGTTCACATGTTCTACGTCCTCCACGAACAGCACAGATCGACACATCATCTTCCACTCTCCCCAGGAATCAATGACGTACTCAGCTGCGTGGATCCGTTTGGGGCATGAGGGCTCTCCAGCACCCTGTCATCTGGTGGGAAAAAAATATCAACTGCGTCGAGGGACCAGCTGACCAAATCCATACTAACTTTCTATTTGGAAGATGTGTAAAGAGAGGCTCTGAGGTTGACAGGACAAGAGAGCAAAAAGCAGGAGGGAGGGAGAGAGGGTAAGAGCGAGTGTCTTTGTCCAAGGCGAAAGAGCGAATGAAGCTAGCTAGTACAAAATAGTAAGCAACTGCTAAATGTAGCATTAAAAGACAGAATATAACAACTGAAGCGTCTTTGAAGCACTTGAGACGTTTCACAGTATTTGTAAAGAAACAAGCCTGTCTCTCACACAATAACAGCTGGAACTCGGCTCCAGCTCCCTCACGACTACGCTCAGAAAAGCAGGTAAAGAAAATGAACAAATGGGGAGTTTTATTTTAAATTCAGGTCATTAATTTAAATAATACAAAAGATACACAAAAAAGTCATAGCACAGTATCACTGAAGGAGCTGAACACTGACAAATGAAAGGTTAAAATATCACAAAGAATGCAAAATGAGTTTGATTGCAATAAAACATTCAGAAAAAAACCCCAACTATAAACAGGAAACGGTGTGACTGCTGAGTCAGCATCATAAGATTCAGTTACATATTGGGTGGAGAAAGTCTAAGGTTCCCCGTAGACTGTAGGTTTTTAGTTAGTTAAGACTGTATGTCCATGTGTAGGTCATCAATGAAACTAATGAACCGGACTGATTGGAGCCTGAGCTCCTGGTGGGTCTATCCTCTGCAGTCGGAGGAAATCCTCTTAGTGGGAGAGCAGCTGAAGTCAGACTCCATCTACCTGCAGCTCAGAGAGGAGTGGGACAATCCTCTTGAATGCTCAGCTAATCTCAGATGTAGCCCAAACCCCCTGATCACCTCCTAGTAGTGAGCTGGATCAGATGGCAGGGGAAGATGCCAGGCAGACCCAGACAACCAAAACATGTAGTGAGGGTTTGCTGGGAGCACCTGGCAGAAGAAGAGGTGGTGGTTCCCCTCTATAAAAAGGGGGCCGGAGGGTGTGCTCCAATTATAAAGGCATCACTCTCCTTAGCATCCCCGATAAGGTCTATTCAGGGGTACTGGAGAACA